AGAGTAGCTACACGGAAGGGGTTAGCAAGTATTAACATGCATTAAATGGCTGCTCATTTCTTCTGTCTTCTCTCCTGTGTGCTCAGAAGTGGCTCGAAGTATTGAAATAGAAACTGTCTAAATTCCTGCAGATTCCTGCTGTGGTCAGTGGAGGTGCAGAACCATTGCATTAGTTCTACAGGAAGAGATGCATGTCAATGCATGAAGTCAGTTCTGAAAGTATCTTCCCATTGCTGTCCATCTCTGGAGGGAAAAATAAAAGGCCCCAATGCAAGGCTGGGACTCAGTTCACAAACGTCACTCTGGACATTCCTCCAGGTGCCACTTTAGAGCAGCACAGCTCTGTCACAGGTCCTATGTTACATTCACAGGCCTGTTTTGGATGTCTCTGGGTTTTAGGCAATTGAAGTTCAACTTTTAGGCCTTCATATTGAGTTTCTGGTTATGCAACAAGTTGATCTGAGACTTAGAGCAAAGCTTTTGATTCCTCTGCAAAACACAGATGATGATCCTTTCCATGTAAATAGAGACAGGCTCAGAGAAGAACAGTAGTTACTACACACACACCTGGATCCTCACACGGCAGGGCCTCAATCTCAGCTGATCCTCGTGCACTAAGCCATTGACGGTTCTTTCATCTCTCTGAGCTGTCCTCACCCTCTGGCCAACAGAACAGCCTGGAGACATTACAGGGGTGGAGAATGGATATTTTAAAATGGTATTTCTGCTAAAAACTAAGAAACTTAAACCATTCAGGGACAAATTATTTGCTACCACCGTGCTGAGATCATTGCCACTCCATGGAAGGAAGGCTGTGTTCATTCAGAGCTTGTACAGATGTTTTTCTCAAAATTGCTGACCTTTCCCCCCGTTCAGCTCCTGTTCTCTGAGGTACCACCATACTAAGTGATATATCATACACAGCCATGGGTTTTTCCTTCTGGAAAATAATGATGGACTCGGTTGTTCTATTCCCTAGACTGAAACACTTTCTGCACAATGGTGAGACACAAAAGGTTTTGCCTTACTTGATTTCAATATTGTATCCTGACTCATGGAAGAACATTTAAAGAACATGTCATCAGTGCCTTAAAAGATAACTACACTAATTTTCCATTTTTACCTTTCTGTCATTAATTCAGAACTATAAAATGCATAATTATACTGCACAGATTTCCATTCTTTCTTGTGCAGCACTTAAAATATTTTGTTCTCCTACCAAAAGATTTTTTTTCAAAGCTTATAGTCGAGATGCTTTTTATGTGTCTTGGACTCTAAAGATTCTCCAATAATTTCTTTCAAGAAATTTCCTTATTTCTGAAATTACCTTTGTGTGGTTTCATTTCACACTGCTCTCCAGAGTACAGTCATCTACATTCTTTCCTTTTTTTTTTTTTTTAAGTTGTCATCATCATCAGTGCTTAGAGTTTAACAATCACAGATTGTATTTTACTTGGGAGCACGTTGTATGAGCTTCTTAAAAGCCATCAGAATACTTTGTTCAAGCTGTGTTTTCTCTTTCAGATCTTTCCAGTCTTCTTGAGCAGGGAGGAATGTGAATGTGACATCAGTGCAAAGTTGGGACAACTCTGGGGGCTCCAGTCTGCAGGATGTATAATTTTGTGCTTTGTAAATCACTGAGCCATAGCCAATGCAGAGCAGGAGATCTCTGCCACAACTGATCTTTTGGGGAGCACTCCATTGAAAATATCAGCCGGAAAACTCTGGTCTAGCACAAGGTTAAACTATTCTACTGCAAATGGACAATCCAAAATTATCTGCCAGGTTTGGCCCACAATCCTGAGCAATAAGCCAGGGAGCTGAATGCCTTTAATTTGTGCAAAGCCCGGCCAGTGGCTGGAGGCTTTGTCTGTAATGGTCGAGCAGATAAAAGTGGAGGGTTATTCTGTACTGCTTCTTCCTGTCCAAAAAAACAAGGCCAGGGAGGAATTATCACCTTAAACCCATTGCCATGGGCACATTCAAGGTCAGGAAACCAGTCTCTTCCCTGAGAGAGGACGAGGCTGCTGGGCTGCCCCTCCCAGCCTGGCCTCGAGCTGCGGTGCTTCCCGGAGGATGGAGAGCCTGCCTGGGGCAGTGCTGCACCCAGGGGGCTTTGGGATCATCGGGAGAGAGGATGTGCAGAGTGCTGGGAACAAGAATTTTTCATGGGAATATTTGCAGTTTGCAATTTAACACAAACCCTGTTAAAGCACAAAAACAGTCTATTATAGCCAGGAAACACTGTGCACAGCAACTTTGGGTGTTTATTTATCAATACAATACAGCGTGGTTCCAGGGGGAATCGATCAAGTTGCATTAAAGATTTAGGAGTCCATTCTGTAGCTGTAATAGTGCCTTTAGCACTTTCTCAAATCCTTTCTTATATTCCAACATAGCAGCTTGTGCTGGTTTATCTTTTGGACCATAAACCACTTTATATCTTCAGTATTTCAGAAGTGATATCACAATAAAACAGATTTTAGCCACAAAATAATACACACATTTTCTGTTTGTATATGTGTTAATCTGTTTTTGAGAAACTAACTGCTTGTGAAGCTATTAGCACAGTACTAGTAATACCATAGAATATCCCTCTAAAAGTGATGGCAGGTTCTTGTTAATGACTAATCAGGTTTTAATGCAATTCTGTTGAAAAAATCGTAATTGAAAAATTATTCCTCTCAGAGACTTTAAGCAATTTTCTTTTGGTTATTTTTTTGTTTTGTTTTGTTTTTGTTTTTTTGTTTGTTTGGGGTTTTTTTAATAATTTAATCAAAAGAGTACTTAAAGCTTTCTATGAAATGAAAACCAAGGGGTTTGGGATTGTTTGTTTTTTTTTTTAATTCTTCTTTAAAAATACAATATATTTAAGCCATATCAAGGTTTATCTAAACGCTCAGCAGATAAATATGCTAAAATTAACAACCCCAGTTCAACATTTAAAATACTAATAATGGAGCAGGGTGATACTGTCCTGGGTTTGCATCCTAAGGGAGCGAGGCCTCAGACAGGGCACTATTCCTGTGGAGGGAATTCAGGCACTGTGGCTGCTGGGAAGCATTGGCAGCAATACCCAGGCTTTAATAGGTACATGAGCAATAACTCCCTCTGCAGTGCTCAGGAGAAAGTAATTCCATTTAGGACTACATAAATTTTCAGTTTGTTAATTAGGTTAAGAGAGGAAAAATAACATTAGGAACTTTCGCTGAAGTTGTATTAGCTTCAAAATTGCAAAGAAATTGAAAGAGAATTTATGTTTTCCAGTAGCTCTGGCAATCAGCTCTACTTCCAAACCAGAGCCCCAAAACACTTAGACATGTGTTCTTTCTTTTTTTTTTTCATTGTTTTTAATCATTGGCTTGTCATTAAAACTTCTCAAACAGCTTGTGAAGTAGTTATCCAAATATATAATATAGAATTATTCTGAAATCTGTCTTTTTTATGAAGCATTTATCAGAGTAGATGTACTCAGCCCAGGTATCACAGACTATACATAGGAATTACTCCCGAGAAATACCGAGTAGTTAAAGCCTTTTTTGGAAAATATCAGGTCAACCTTCAGAATTGACTTTGCTGAGATCGTGTGGTCATCATGTCAGCTTTGGGTGGGACCCTGGGAACTTGCCAATAACTGGTGAGAGTCACTGAATCTCACTGAAAGCCTTCAGGACTGTGGAGGAACCATCAGGAATATTTTTGATAATGCAGACAGGAGTTGAGTGTAAATCAAAAATCAGCTTTCTATCAGAGAAATTTTAACAGGTTCAATAGAGGGAGATTAACCACTTCAAACCCTCACAAACTCATGCTTTAGATACACCTACATGAGAGGAAAGCCTTGAAAAGTGGCCTTTGAATTCTCAGCTGAGGATCCTGACCAGGAGAGGAAGAGTGTGTGTGTTGCTCTTAGCCTTCAACTGCTCACAGATGAAAGAACTTTTGTTCATCTATTCCTGCCTGGAATATGAAGGACTTGGATCACTTCTGATAGTAGCCATGAATTTATAGCTCAATACTTAGGGAAAGAAGGACACTTCAGTTCTAACACACTGAAGTAACAAAGCTGGCAAGTGGCTTGACCTATCCCTTTCTTATGAATATTTACACCTGGTCTTAAAAATGCTTTCAGACCTGGGTATTTGAATGTGTCCAACGTATTCACCACATGCTAGTTAAAGAGAAGTTCAGATAAAGCATCAGACTTCTCATACACAACTCCAATAATTCCTACAGACAGCAGGAATTTCATCTCTCATCATGTTTCTGTAGGCATTCGCCCTCTTTCTGAGGTTTCTTCTTCCAGAAACCCAACTTTAGGGGGTTATTGCTTTGCAGCAGATAAGCAAAGCAATAGTTTGTCTGAGGTGTAGGCCAAAACACAAGAAATAGCATCAGCCTTGGTGTAATCCCTGTCTCCTCAGCCTTTGCTGGCAGTGGAAAGCTGGCAGCTCTCAGGTTTGTTACCAGTGCCAGTGATCAGGCAGATCTTGTAGCTCTTGGACCAAGCCCTGTCTAACATGGGAATCTCAAACCGGAGCAGGTAGGGTTTATTTGGGGGCAGCCACAAGAAGTGGGTGCCCTTCTGGGAATACTTCCATCAGGCTCTTCCATCAGGCTCTTTTTGGCCAAGGGTCCTAATGGGCTGGGCTTCCCATTGAGGCCACCACAGGGAACAGCAGTCCTGGTGCAAGCCTTTTGTCACCTTTCTTAGGGGAGCAGAAGGCAGGAGAGGAGGAAATTCAGGGAAAAGTTTGAGGAACTGCTACTCCAAGATACAACCTCTCTTTTCTGTAGCTTGTCAGTGAGTGCTGAGCCCTGTGGTGGGGTCACTGATGCAAAGAACAGCCTGTGTGAATGAACAGCCTCACTTACAGCACAAGGCAGGCACAATTGCAGGATGTACAACACCAGTACAAGGGAAATACCTGCACACACATCAGGAGTCAGTGCCATGGCACAACAGCCTCCAGCTGTGCTTACTTTTCCTTTTACTGTTCCCTGCTTGTCCTCTGCAGCACATATTGAAGGAAGCAGTATGCACCTCATTATTTAGATTTACTGTTCTATTGATAGCAGTTCAGAGCAAAGCAGAAGGGCTTAATAATCCTGCCCCCACCATCTGAGGTCTGGAGAGAGCAACAACCCCTCTCAGAACCCAGGGCTGCACTAGGCAGCAGCTGGAACAAGGCCTCACCACTGGGAGGTGACTGGTGGGGCTGCAGTCACTCGATGATTTTGCATGTAGAGCCAGCATCTGATCAGACTTTTAACCTGGAGGGGGAAGCAAAGCAAAATTCTGGTGAGTTAAATTACCTTCTGCTGCATACAATCATCTGGCACAACACAGCCCCGCAATAACATTCGTGTTGCCATTAATGGAAAACACTTCACATTGCACTCCAGAGATTTTGTTGTTGTTGTTTGCCTTGGTATGGAAGTGATCCATTCAGATTGGAGCTGCCTGAAAAAAGCCTAGGGGCTCAGACACCAGCAGCAGCAGCTCTCTAAGTATCTCTGTCTTACTGCGTAATCTCTCACTGACTTGAAGGAAATGTGCCAATTGCTGCTGCTATAGGGCTCTGTGTACATAAAACACACGCTCAGCTGAGCGGCCCTATGGGGCAACATGATTTATTTGCTGATTTACCTCAACTAAATCATGATAATACTTCAACAGAATTGTCTTGGCTTCAACAAAATGTGTCAAAGCATTTTTAAATAGAACATTCAATCTGCGCCTCACTCCCGCGTGTGATGAAGTAAAGAATTAAAAACATGACTATGTACTACGCTGGTAGAAGTCTGGAAAAGCTGATTAAATACTTATTGGAGGAAGAGGGGCATTTTCCAGTGTGCTCAAAGATATCTCAGGTTTTCTAAACATTAAAGCTTGTCTTGGAAACTTTCGGTCATCCTGAAAACTAAATTGAAATATAAATAATAATAATAACAACAATTACAATAATAATAATAATAATGATGATGTCAGAAGACCAGAATCAATGTTTATCTCCATATACAGGCTGTTCCTTCAAGCTGACACGTACCTGTACCTGTACCTCCGGGGTAAAGAGGTGCTGAAGTGCTGACAGCAGAATGGCGACACTTGACCCACAGACAAGCGAGTGCCAGGCAGTTTGGGTCTGGCTGGAGGAGTGACTTGGGCTTCCAGAGGCTGGAGTCTGGTGGATGTGGAATTACGTTACCTGAGATGTGAATTGTTTTATATCCTTGGTCCCTAAAATGTTCAAGAGATAGCTTTACTCCTGGCTAAATGAAACTACCCCTTGAGCCATTTTATTAATGTTTGTTTATTGTTTAATGAGGGCTTGCAAAGCTTAAGGCTGTCTACTCTGTTAAAATTAGCAACCAGGCTTTGTGATGGAAAAAGTCATCCTGTCTTCTCACTGGAATCATTCACAAACCAAGAAGGGATGCTGCAGCCAGTCCTTAATTGAATTCCGTGGCATTTTCAATGATAATGCATGAGTCTCCTCTCCAATTCAGGAATGAGGAATTATTACACAGAAGGATAAACAGGATAAAAATGAAAATTAATGCTCTTGGAAAACAAACCAAGTATTTCTGCAAATCTGTTTACTGGTATTTCAGTTCATAGACTCCTAAGATAGGAGTCTCTGTTATTGAACCCAGACCCATCAAAGATGATCATTCTCTAATTCCATGTCCTTTTTTACTCCTAGTAAAAGACCATGAAGTTGCATAGAGCATTAAAAGCATTACTTTAAGTGGTATGGTAAATAGGCTGATCTTATTAACCTCAGTATAAACCAGGAACACAGGAATTGGATTATGAAGGGGAAGGCTCATGTTCACGCACATTTATCTAAGGTAATTAGACATTTGTAGGGGGGATGGGGTGTAAACCAAAAGTACAGGGCAAGAAAATTGATTTATTCTCTGAAATTGTCTGCCTTCTACAGTGAGATCTAAAAGTAGATCCTATCAAGAAATAATTTGCTATGTCATTTACAATATTTAGAAATGAAATGGCAATTACCAGCCCTCTGTATATGTCAAAGGTTGCTAGACAAGGTTGGCTCAGCATTTTCACAGCATCAGGTCTCTCAAATTCAGATCTTAGTCTTTATCAGACATCAGAGGAGTCCATCATAAAATAAGTAGAAACAACATAGGCAATCTAGTTTCTGGACAGCTCTTCCTTTGGCAATATTATGGAAGATTAGGGCTGAGAGACTGCTTATTTTTCAGTGCAGAAATCCTCCCTAAGATTGTTCGCAATTTGGAAAACTTACCTTTTTGTTGTTTTTACTGGCAGAATAAATAAGTAAAGAAATTTTCTGATGTAGATCAACTGCACTACATATTTACCAATTAGAATGTTATGAGAAGTCACTATTAGCAACACTGATGAGATTCAGTGAGATGTGACACACTATTCAGGATGTAGGTCTATTTTCAGAATAACTTGTTCTCAAAAACTGACATTTTTTGTTAAGTAATTGTTAAGTAATTGAGGTCAGAAGCTATATATTTCTTAAAAAGGACTTACTTCATAGAGTTTGTGGCAGGAGTAGGGAAAAGGAGTTCCAAGTGACCTGAGGAGTAGGGAAAAGGAGTTCCAGGTGACCTGAGGAATTTTCTTTTTCCTTAGTCCCACTGTCTCTTGCCACATCAACTGTCCTTCATGAAACTGAGCTAACAAGTCAATATTTTGAAAACCTTAGCTTGTAGTCTCTTGTAATATTAAATTTTGCCTGAGTTTAGATTTCCCAAGTACTTTTTCTCCTAGCTGAAAACAAGGACAAGAAAATCATCAGAAAACAAAACTACAGTTAACACTAGAAGAGCTACAAGAAGAAAGCACTTTAATGTCTGTAAATTAGAAAAACCCTATCACCTCATTAAAAAACATAAAATGGTTGAAGCATAGAGGTCAGCTCTGCTAAGGGGTTAGGTATGTCTGTGAAATGCTAAGAAAAATAAGTTGGAGAGACTTTTGCTTTTCCTGTGAAAGCTATTTTTGCACACATCTGATGCCTCGGGAGTCTGTAGGAATGCAGGAGCAGCTGATTTCCTCCTGGGTGCCAAAGATCATATCTGTGGGGTGTTTAGTTTTACTATTTCCAGTCCTTCAGATGTGTCTAGCGTCATCATGTCTGAGACCACTGAAATGGGAAGGGCTGTTTTACCATACTCCATAGTCTGCTTTATATACAAGAGCGTGGCACATCTGCGTAAGTAAAGTTGCTGTCAAAATAAAAGTTTCCCTCACGTAATGTAGAATTCAAACCATCTCAGTGTTCATTTCTCAGTGAGCCATTTCTGTAATAAGCATATCTGAGAATCAGGCTGTGAACGAAATCAAGAAACCTTAAAAGCTGGGGCTGGTGTAAGACCACTTGTTTTGAAGAGGGTCATGAGACCACAGAAACCCAGCCCTGTCTGTAAAGCCTGAGGAATGTGTGGGATTCCTTCTGGCCTGGTACAAAGGTGAAGGAATTTGTTTGAAGGCCAAGCAATCAGCCTCAATCTCTGATCACAGTGCCTGGCATTTGGAGAGTTCAGAGCACTCATGTTCTCCCATGACTTATTGTGCACAGCTCTGAAGTCTAGGATGAAACAGGGACTGTATCGGTGCTCCCCGCACGTGAATAAGGACAGGAAACTTCTGATTCGGGGATGCTTGCACCTATTTGATAGATTTTTGACTTATTTTTAATTTTTTCTCTCTCTCTGTTGTCAGCTTATTCTTAGACATAATGAAAATGGTCGTATAAATAATATTATATTTCAGAATTCACAAGAGTTCATCTTTCTTTTTCCTCCCTTAAAAGAACCACTACCAAGAGGTCGCTCCATATGAAGGTTTTAGGCTCTCTTCATAATCATAGGAAAATGACTTTGGCCCATCAGCAGAGTATCAGCTTTGCATTAGCAAGTTGGCTTGAACACAAAATGATCTTTTTACATTCTAGTATCCATCTCTCTGGAATTAATCATCCATTCAGCTTGTAGTTTGTTTAAACATAAACACACAAAAAAGGTGCAGTAAGAGTGTTTTCAGAATCCAAATATTTGCTTTCTACCTCTTTAAACCACCTCCCCACCACAAGGGTGAAAGCTGCCAAATGGCAGCTGAAAGCAACATTTTGTCTTCAATTAGTCATATCTGAATCTATTTTTTTTTCCTGTGAGATAGTGCCACTGGGACACGTGTAACAACAGAGGGCAAACGAGGTCACTGGAAAACTAACTCCTGGGGCATGTCTGGCTTGTGAATGAGTTCATGACTTCTGTTAGGAGCTCCCATTCTCCCACTGAGATTACATTTCCTGCTGTAGACAGATCATGTGGGCTGAGCCAACATCTGCCCTTGGGCAAGCAGGAGGGAACACTGTACCCTGAGCACACAACACTTAATCTGGGGGATGCTGCACAGGGGGCAGGAGCAGGGGGAACCCTCCCAACATCACTAAGTAACCTTGACAGCCCAGAGTGCTGGAGAAGCATTGTGTGCTCTCAGGTGTCTGCTCCAAGGGCAGGGATGGTGTGAAATGTTTCATTTTCCCCCATGGTATGAGAAATGTATTTTATGGCTACTAATGTGAAGCACTTGGGTTAGGGGTGGGCCAAGGGTGCCCAGCGACTACATTAGGTAGTTTACAGACACCCAAGTAAAGGATGAGGCCAATTCATTAGCCAAGTATTTATGCTACAGCTCCCTGTGAGCTCCAAGAGGAATGGGGGAACTGTCCAATATGAGAACTGACAAAAGCAATACACAGACATGAGTTAATCCTGTTTTGAGTTGGTGAGTTTGCATGTAGTTGAGCATGAGGGTTGTTCCCAATGGGGCCTGATGAGCCTTGATTTCACATTTGTCTTTATGAAGTCTGGAAAGCTTTACTGGAAAAATTCCCAGTGAAAGGCACTGGAGGTGGCTGACTTCCCCAGCTTGTGTTTCAAGGTGATGAATTCTCATGGGGCTATGTTACAAAAATGGCCTGGCCAAGGGAGGAGAGCACATACCTTTAAAGGCAAGCTCAAAATTAGGACCTTGAGTGTTAGAGTTGTGATTGATTTCCTTAGCTCTCAGATAATTTCTATGACTAAGTAAAAGCATTTCTAAAAATAGGGTCTTTGTCTGAAAGGAGGAAAACAAGGTAAAATCCTCAAATGCCTACTTGAGGTCTGCTTTCTGTGTTACAGCAGTGGTTTGTATTTGACGTAGGGTTAAACAAATAGAAGGCTTTATTCTCTGCTGTAGCTTTAGTTTCAGAGTGCGGCATTTTTTTAAGCCCAGAGTGACTGAGAACTGTAGTAGACTGACTAACCTATAACTATCACAATAGTTGGAAAGCTTCCTTGCCTGAACCAGGAAGGTAAATGCTGCTTAGTATTGCTTAGTGCAGGCCTACCCAACTTTGTGACCCATTGATTATCATTTCATCTGATAACAAAGAAAGTAAAGGTGGTCTCAACCTCAACTTTCTTTATGACCTCGGAAGTGAATCAGCACAAAATCCACAGGTATTTCTTCTGGGGTTGCTTTCAGGACTATCTGGAAAGCCTGAGATGCTATTCATACTCCTTGGCAAATGAAGAAGGATTGTTGCCCTGAAATGAAAGGTTTTCCTGGTGGCTACACAAGTGTCCATTTGGTGGCCACAGGCTTGGAGAGCAGTTCAGACACAACTGGTCATGGGCAGATAAGCACGGACACACAAAAGCTGAAGATTAGACACTGCAGCCTAATTAATACCTTAATTAACAGAACTAGCCCAATAAGAGAGGCTTATCATAGATGTGAATATTTATCTTTAGGCCCAAATCTCTCAAATTGAAGGCTACTTACTCAAAGCCAAGTTTTCTTCTCTTAAGGTACTCACTTGAGTTTGTGTTACACTGATGTGTGCATAACTGACAATTCCAGAAAATGTCACGTACTCCTAAAACAGCACTACTGTACAAAGGGAAATTAGGATAGAACAGTATAATTCCAGTTGGAAGGGACCTACAGTTATCTTCTAGTCCAAATGCTTGACTACCTCAGGCTGGCCAAAAAAAGTTAAAGTGTACAGAAAACAAACCTCTTTTCCTTACCTCACCTGCACACCTGAGAGCTCCCCCTGTGCAGCACCAAGCCCTGTCCCTTTGCACAGGGCTGCAAGGGGAACCCCAGAATTGGGGGGGCTGCTGGGGGGACCTCCTCCAGTAACTGGGCTCCCCCAAGGTGGCTCATGTCAGGAGCAT